TCTGTCTGTGGGTGACAACGGTCTCTGATTTCTCTTGTGTTTTACAAGGAGATTCCAGAGCGGAGCCCACCCCCCTCCCGCCGTAGCTGAGATATCACAGTTTTTGGTGGACTGCTCTTGGCAAGCCTTCCCGCCATTTACAGCCGGTAGTGCCACTTGGAACTATGACCGCAAGGTGAGGCGTCAGACGGTATGGCTGCCAGTGTAGGGGGGCTGGATCTCTTCCTGAGTATCTCTTGCCATGCTCCATGTTAGGTACAAGCTGCATACGGTGCCTTATTGCCAACAAGCTAACATTTTTCTGGCGCCAACATTCCTTCCAGTCTCAGCCCAAGAGATTCTGGTGAGCTGCTAAGCCGACGTCGTGGCAAGAAAGACGCCAATGTTGCCGCCTCCGGGCCCGTTCGAGTCTCTCCATACTATGCAATAAAAGCAGACGTTCCGCCGGGTTTTCAAGCCTGCGGCGCAGAGTAAGGCAGCGGATCCTCTGGTCAGTGCTGGTGCTAGCCAATCCTGCATTGTCAGTCTACAGGAGGTGCCGTGGCTACACCGCTAAGGACCGGCTCTGGTGTCGGCTGTCAGGAATGACATCCAGTTACTGTATTCACAGGGTGCTTAATCTTACCAGAGCTTCCATCGGAGCTCCTCAGGCGATTATCGGCCCTCGAGCACCTCCGGGCGGGAGGATCGGCCATGTTTTTAGTCATCCCCAACCGCAAACAACCCAAGCTGCATTTTGTACAACTCTTTATACACAAAGGTCTTCAGCAGACGCGGCCGCCCCCCGACACCAGAAGGGGGAGGCGTGGTCTATTTTTTTTTTTTTTGGTTTTCAGACTCACTAAAACTGGGATTGTACAATTTTAGAGTTCAGGAGAAGGCACCCGGGCCTCGAGAGAGGTTCGGAGGCCTTGTCCTTCTCTGCTGATATTTTATAGAGTGTATAACCTTATCGGAGTCTCCTCTGATTCTTCTCGCTTACAGTAATCTCAATTATCAGTGGTGTTTTGTGTTGTCAGGGGGTCAAAGCCCCTCCACTCTTTTACCCATTGTATATGATGTGAACATTTTTGATTTTGTGTCCAATTACTTGATGTAGACGGGGCTGTGCTCTAAACACTCAGACTCTGCTAAATATAACTTTCTTTATACCTCTGACCGTCCCTAATTGTCTTTTACTGCCCTGGAGGCCGCCACCGATGGCTCCTTGCCGGGGGACGGGTCCTTGCTCTGTGGCTGAAGGGTGTACAGGTCTCCTCTACCATTGCTGTGGAACTTCTAGAGTGGAGTCACTCGTGTCTTTCATCCCATGCCAGAACACTCGGGTATATCGCTTTTGTTGGTACTTCCTGAATAGTAAAACATCTTTGGGCCTCATGCAGAACATTATGGAAAACGTATTCGAATGTGTCAGCATCGGTAATTGAAATACTTTCCGAGTCATCACCTTAGATGAAGATTGGGCAACTTTAAAAACAAAAACCCATTGAAGTGACATCAAGCTAAGCAGACATGGAGGGACCTGATCACCTGTTGATTGGTGACCTCCTTATTATGAGGAGCATTCCAATATCTCAGAACTGGATGAGCTTTTCTAACCTGATACAACTATGGGGAAAGTTTAGCAGAATTTCATCGAAAACACAGAACATCTGAGCCAAAAAAAAAAGGTCCTGATGACCCATAAAAGCAGAAGCACCAAGTCTGCTGGTTATATCACCGTGCTCCCGAGCAATGACATGACCAGGTTCTCCTACAGAGCTGTCCCGCTTTCATGTCACGAGCCAAGCCATGACCAGGTTCTCCTACAGAGCTGTCCCGCTTACATGTCCCAAGCCATGACATGACCAGGTTCTCCTACAGAGCTGTCCTCCTTACATGTCCCGAGCAATGACATGACCAGGTTCTCCTACAGAGCTGTCCCACTTTCATGTCCCAAGCCAAGCCATGACCAGGTTCTCCTACAGAGCTGTCCTCCTTACATGTCCCGAGCAATGACATGACCAGGTTCTCCTACAGAGCTGTCCCACTTACATGTCCCGAGCCATGACATGACCAGGTTCTCCTACAGAGCTGTCCCACTTACATGTCCCGAGCCAAGCCATGGCCAGGTTCTCCTACAGAGCTGTCTTAGTGTGATGTCCATGCCATGTGCCACCTACAGAGGTGAGGTTCAGCACACTTTGGCAGACGCAGCCATTGATAACAACTCTTCATTTGATGTAATTAAAAACCAGAACATATTATGGTCACCAAACCTAAAGATCCCTCTAGATGTCAGGCTCAGTGATCCACCGCACTGTGTTCTACTTGGGTTCCAAGCTTTGACACACCTCACAGTGCATGGAAGGTGACATGGCCAGCAGATAGGGACCTTTGGTGAAGTGTGCCGCGGGGTCCATTGAAGAACGTGGCCATGGCGTGCCTTGGTTTTGTGGCTCCTCAGGGACTCGGTAGTATATTTGAGATCTGGGGGCACTTTTCTTGCAGCTCAGAGGTAACGTCACTTGTGTAAGGACTCCCGAGATCCTCCTGCAGTTTGTGGACTTATGAAGGAATTCACAGACATGATAAAAACATATCATCCGGTATGATTATCCCCGACGCTGACAAGCCAGTTATCTCAAATCCCAAATATTAAAAAGAAGTCATATGTGGGGGGAGGGGAGGGAGAAGACCACCCCATGACAAAGGGGGTTCCCTAACTGCCCCTCAATTCATAGATTCCAATATTTTGGGATATTACAAAATGCTCTTTATGTAATTGTTGTTCTTGATTTCAGCTAAGCTGTGTCTTGAAACAAGTTCACGTGTTGACCTGACATTAGTTAGGTTAGAGCCCCGTTTTCCCTCTTGTAGCTGCGTTATCTGATAGGCAGCCTAATCGTCCAATCACAGGAGAGGAATGTAAATCAGTAACTGTACCTATGGCAGTCATAGGCAGGCCATGTGCAGTCATAGGCAGACCATGTGCAGTCATAGGCAGGCCATGTGCAGTCATAGGCAGGCCATGTGCAGTCATAGGCAGGCCATGTGCAGTCATAGGCAGGCCATGTGCAGTCATAGGCAGACCATGTGCAGTCATAGACAGACCATGTGCAGTCATAGACAGACCATGTGCAGTCATAGACAGACCATGTGCAGTCATAGACAGACCATGTGCTCCCATGCCAATCTGGCACCAGTTCATGTCAGCAAAGTGTCACCGGCACTGACTGGCCTGTACCGGGTTGGTGGACTGTGGACGATATGTGGGGGGTGGGGCCCGTGTTGGGTCAGTCCAGCACCAGTCTCGTATCCTTATCCACATGAAGGTCAGGCAGTGCAGGAGACACATGGCTACGGTTGGGCAGCACATGGCGCCCGACGTTCCTTTGGAATGATGGATGGGTAAATCCTTTCATGGAGTAAGTACATATTGTATATGTCCAATGAGATGTAGACAACATTTAATGTCTAAAATTGTGTAAATATTTAGCCAGATGTGAGAGGGAAGCTTTAGATGCAAAAATGTGGCGTCCCCCTGGACAGTCCGTGGCAGACAATTCGGGTGTTTAGTGCTCCATTGTTGGGCTTTCCTGTGTCCGCAGACCGGCCATTCGATAGCCATTGAAGGAAAGCTTTCATATTTCTATGAAAAAGGAGGGGGAAAATTAGAGCGCAAATCCTGGGAATATGAGGGGTATAAGGACAACCAGTGTCTGTATGTGGCGGGTGGAAAAACAAAAATGAATAAAATCACAAAAAGGTGAAGGACTTACTTGTGGAGCCGAGGTCCTGTCATGGAGGGCCCTTTAGGAGTGTGGGCAGTGTGGGATGTACTCGGTGTCTCCCAGCAAGTGGAGGGATGGATGAAGGAGGAATCAATGTGGACTGAATGCTGTATGTGCCCGGGGACTGGTGACGAAGCTGCCTATGGTCTTGATGGCAGTGTTCTTAGGACGTGACGGAGTGAAAGGGACCGAGGGCTGGGAGAGGACGTGCACGGAACAGTGGTAGAGGAGCGACGCGTTTCGAGGTGATCCTCTTTTTCAAGCTCGAGTCAAGCACCCTTCCACTCGAGCTTGAAAAAGAGGATCACCTCGGCTCCACAAGTAAGTCCTTCACCTTTTTGTGATTTTATTCATTTTTGTTTTTCCACCCGCCACATACAGACACTGGTTGTCCCTATACCCCCCACATTCCCAGGATTTGCGCTCTAATTTTCCCCCTCCTTTTTCATAGTTCACAGGTTTCTCCCCCTGTTTTTAGAGCAGCAATCCAGATCACAGACCCCACATTCCCAAGAGAGCGCTGTGTTCTTTTTCTGTTTGTTTTCATATTTCTATGCAGCCCATAGACATCACGGGGCGCGTAGAAGAAGAAGGCGAGAAGCTTTTCATGGCCATACAATGGTATGAAGAACTAAATCATCCTCGCCGTGCCTGGCGCCTAATGATACCTATAGATATGAGGACGGCAGAGGCCGGGATTTAGGAAATAATCGGAGCTGTTCTGTCCTCACATGAAGCTCTTCATATGACATTGACATGGAAGGGTTTATTCTGGTCACTATTAAAGGAGAAGTACGAGGTCAGGACTTTTCCCCATAGTTCTCCTCAGGGTCGGGGGAGGACACAAACTAGCGTCCTCCCGTCACCCTAAGCTCAGTATATAGGGAGCTACAGCTCGCGGTATACTGAGACGCCGCAGCTGAAGAGGATCCCGACAATTATGTCTGGATCCGCCCAGCTGCGTGAGTGACAGCTGGCTCCTCCTATCTAGAGGCAGAGCCAGCTGTACCCGCCCCCTCCCCCATCCTTTCTGCCAGTCAGCGCTGGAGGATGGGAGGGGGGAATCCAGGCAGAGAGCCGTGACAGGATCGAGAGGTGAGCGAACGCCGGTATGTGTTCGCTCACTTCCCGATCTACTGAGCCGACCTGTGACAGTCTCATTGTCACAGGTCGGCTAGAACTATGAGGAGGAGTGAAAAGCCCCTCCCCCCTCGTAGTTCTCCTTTAAGTACTATAATATAAGAAGTTTATCTGCCTGTCCTTCAGACGGGTCAGGAACCCCAGTTGGTGTCATCCGACTTCCCTCGGTAATCACTAATCCCAAATCAGTAGGGCTCCCAATGTGGAGATGTCCTCAGTGTCCTCTGCAATGCCCATGTACAAGGTCATTGGGGTGCCAATGTCTCCTCCTATAGAGTCCCTCAGATTGGATCAGACTAGAAACATTGCTACTGGTGTCAGCCGCGCATGTGTAGTTGTGCAGTGTGTGAACACCCCGAGCTCTGGCCTCGTAGCTGGATGTACATCACTGGAGGCTGTAGGCACACAACTCTACGACGCCAGGATCTCCTCTTCCATACATGTCCTGGTTCTGCCGGTCCTGGCTTAGATTTCATGCATTGGGCCTGATCCATCAAGCTGCGGCAGTGCTAAAGGCGTGCTACATGCTAAGCCGGCCGCTCAAGCTCTGCTATTGCCCGAGGAGCCACTTTTCATTCCTTAAGTGCCATTGCAGCTTAATGAATGAGGCGAAGCGTGTGAAAAACAAACCTTCATGAGAAGAATGTTTGCACTGATGATGGGAATGAAATGCACAGAAACTGCCGCCTGTAGGCTCGGCCTATTGTGGTCAACGGTAAATCCGGTGCTATCTGGGCGGGTCTGGTGATAGGAGGGTCTGGTGACAGGCGGGTCTGGTGACAGGCGGGTCTGGTGACAGGAGGGTCTGGTGACAGGCGGGTCTGGTGACGGGCGGGTCTGGTTATGGGCGGGTCTGGTGACAGGGGGGTCTGGTTATGGGCGGGTCTGGTGACAGGCGGGTCTGGTGACAGGAGGGTCTGGTGGGTTTATTACATTTGCAGTGACAGCTGTAGAAAACCATCACTGCCAATAAACAAAATTCTCCATGTTAGAAAATCTCTTTGTCAGCTCGGATGTGTCTCCTCGTAGAAGCCCCTCCCCCGATCCTTCCTCTCCCGAGCCCCGTGTGGGTCCACCTAGTCTGCATATCACCTGA